ATCTGTATACATGTCAGAAATCCAAAGGTTTGTGCAATGGCGTGACAACAATAGCCTAATTTTGATGGTTAATAAAACAAAAGAAATAGTTTTTGATCCCAGAGCAGTTGGTGATCACTCACAGGTAGTACTCCACAACAAATTTATCATTCAGGTCAATTCATATACTGTAAGTACTAAGGAGTACACATAGACATCAACCTGTGCTGGACTACTCATGTTGGGAGGGTTTGCTCCAAAGTTCAGCAGCGCTTACATTTCTTGCGAAGACTAAGAGTGTTTGGGGTTCGACAGATAATAATGCTACTCTTTTACCATACTGTAATCAAGAGCATTATCAGATATGGCATAACAGTGTGGTTTGGTAATTTACCAGTTCAATTAAGATCGCAAATTAGCCGTCTCATCCAAATAGCTCTGAAGGTCATGGGAGTGAAACAGCACCACTCCCTGCAGACAATCTTTGAAAAATCCCTAATCAAACAGGCAGGAAAAAATCTATCAGATCCTTCCAACATCCTCAATTCAGAAGACCAACTTCTTCCTTCCGGCAAATGTTTTAGGGTTCCTAAATGTAAGTCAAACAGATACAACCGTTCCTGTGTCCCACTATCCATTAAAGGTGTCAATGCAAATGGCAAGGATAAACACAATTTTGACTCTTACCGCCCACTTGAGTGCGATATGTTTTGTAATGTGTTATAAGTGTTATATGTTGTTATGTGTTATACATGTGCAACAGAGTGATATGCAATGTTTGTTTGGTTGTTTGTTTTTCTGCAGTATATTTAAATGTACAGAAGTTCTGTGTGTCCACGGAAAATTTCCCTCTGGGGACAATAAATCTGGCCTTGTCTAGTCTTGAATGGTCATTGTGTAATGAAGATGGACAAGCAAAGTTAACCCTCTTCAGGAGTCTCGGAAAGAAACGGATTCCAGACCTGCTCTGGGAAACCTCATTCATTCATTTCCTGCAGGCAAGGTTTTCGTCTGGATGAGGAGAATCCTATGCTGTGTGTCTACTGCGGTTTGTTCTTGTCATTCTTATTAAGGAGCTTCCCCAACAAAATCTCTGAGCTAGAGGAGAGGATAAAAAATTTGCAGGATATCAAACAGTCGGAAGAACTTGACTGCGTTATTAAAAAGTGTCTCTCGCT